CAAAACATCACCCATAATATATGTAACCAAAAGGCATAAGCCACCCCAATATGCAGTTTGACTGTGGGTTTCTTGYCTTGACTTCTGCTCCTTATATCTGTGAGCACTATTTTTGACTCTCACCCCAAAGCCGGTCTTCCCTACCAAAATCCCTCCCAGTCCTGCCAGGTCCCCYATCCCTGGACTGTCCTCCACCCTGCAGTCCTGCTCACTCCACACCTGGCCAGGATGCTGTGTGTACCTGGATACCCTGGCAGGGGAGGTGACAGGACACCCACCGCCCTGGACAACGGCGTGACAAGCTGCGATGGGGACCAGAGCCGTGAGGACGCGCAGAGGGAGGGCAAAGGGAGYAAAAGGGATGCTCCTCCCGTGGGTCTGCGCCTCGGAGGGGTCCGGGTGCCTGTCCCAGCCCGGCTGGCAGCTCCAGCCGCGGGGTGCGAGGAAGGGTCCGGGTTTGGAGCGCAGGGTTCAGGTGTGGCGGCGGCTTTGGCTTCGTCTCCAGTGGCGGGTGCTGCTCCGCTCCCGCCGTTCCCGCCGTTCCCGCACCTGAGGGGCCGCCGGAGCTGCGCCGCTCCCCCGGTGYCCCCGGCCCCGGCTGCCGTGTGCCCTGGCGATGCCGCGGGGCCCGGGGAAAAGCGGGGAGGGAGGCGAGGGGGCTGCGGGCAGAGGGACAGCCGGCCCGGGCGGGAGGGGAGCGGGAGGCAGCGATCAGGACTTACCCCCGGCCCGTCGGGCCGTGCCGCCGCCGCCGAGCAGAGCTCGGTCCCGGTCCTGCTCCCGCTCCCGGTCCCGTTGACTCCCGGTCCCGTTGACTCCCGGTCCCGTTGACTCCCGGTCCCGACCCGCTCCCTCCTGCTGCCTTCCCGGCGCGGAGCCGCGGGGCGGGACCGGGCTGGCCACCTCCTCCCGCCCGCCCCCTGCCCCGGGACCCCGCGGTGCCCGCTGAGGGGCGGCCGGGCCGGGGCTGCGCTCCCCGGGCCCTCCTCAGGTACCCGAGAGGTTGCCCTTCTCCTAAAGGGGCGCGTCTGGAAGGCGAATTTTGGAGCTGGGGTCTGCAGCAAGGGCGTGCTTTGCTGAGGGATTGACTCGCTSCTGCCTGGGAGGGGAAGCGGGTCGCCGGGAGCCCGGGGCGATGGGAGCCCGGGGCTCCGGTGCTGCGGCCCGGTGCGGGGAGATGCCTCGGCCGGGGCAGAGAGAAAGTTGTCACTTACAAAAACAGTTGGAAAAGATTATCAAAGCAGAAAGGATTTTAAAAAGGAGATTTTAAAAAAAAAATGTATCTTTAAATTAACTACCTTTAATCTGGGATGAAAGAGTGTGAATAAGCAGGGAGGAAGCTGGAAAGGAGACTGATGTTGGGAAGCGTCCTTCTCCAGGGACCAGTGGTAGTAGGCACAGCACGGTGGCCAGGGCACAGCTACAAACCCTATCTCTGCGGTGTGGCTTCTCTTGAGGTGTGAGATCAAGTCCCTGAGGCATAGTTCTCCTTGGTCTGTAGTCACTGGGGTGATCCCGGTGAACCTTCTCCCTCTGCAGCTTGGGTTGTGCCCCCCGACCCCTCTGGCACAGCAAGCACGGCTCGCAGGGAGTTGCCAGGAGGGTGGAGGAARCTCCGCAGCAGAGTTGAGGTTTCCCTTCTCTACAAGTGTGARTTGTGGCCCTTGCAGGCGGAGACAAAGTGCCTTTCCCTTTTATGCACCCACTGATCGGTGTGGCCACAGGCTGACTTGTAGGTGGGCAAGGAAAAGAGCAGATACKGTGGAGAGCAGAGTTTATCCACTTATTTAAAAGAAATTATTTAAGAAGTATGTGTTGGGACTTGGGCTGCTTGGATCATCTCTCCTGCCTGCAGCTTTGTGAGCTAACCTTGTGGGTGAGAGTGGTAGGAGGGAGAGGCGGTGTGGAAAGCCCTCGCATCCATCAGGTGTGAGGGGTGTGAGAGTTCCATCTTTAGCCTGGCTGGGGACGGTGAAAGTGCCCATGGAGGATTTGATGAGGATTAAGCAGCACCACTGCCTTTAACCGAGGCTGTGCTTGCCCCATGGCAGCTCTGTGGAWGGCACTGCAAGAGCGTGATGAGTCACTGTCCCTAGGGCCACACATTCACACTTGTCCCTGCTGGAGGATAGAGCTGCCAGGCCATTAGACCAAATGACCCRTGAAGGGCTCTACAGCCCCCTTGTTCCCTTGGGAGCCCCAAAATGGTGTGACAAGGACTGCACTTACCATGCTTACATTCTATTTGTACACTTGAACTTTTTCGGTCATCTGAGCMGTGCTGTTCACTTTTGGGGAAATGCACTTGCTAACCATGCCTGGAGCGGTCAGGGGATGGGGAAGTCCTCCTGCCCATGTCCAGCACAGGCTTTTTAGCAGCGAGCCTGGGAGGAGTCCAAAACACCCACACTTGAGTGGCTAAAGCAGAGGGAAAAGCACACACTGCGATGTATGCCCTGACTGGTGAGGGCTGTGCGAGTTGTGGGCTGGGTGTGGATGCCCGGTGATCATGACTCCCTCCTCACAGGGGGGCTGGCAGAGAGGTGGAGGCATTTTTAACTTCCTTTTAGCACTTTTTGAACGCAGTTTGTTTGTGGACAGTTCCCGGAGGATTGTAGCTGGCAAGGTGCTCCCATCGGCTCTGGAACCATAGAACCCAAGGCATTCCAACAGGCTTTGCTGCTGTCAGCTGTTCCGWGTAGCAGCTCACCACAGATCGATAAAGAGACACTGCCTGGCCCTCCTGGAAGATAAGGGAGGTGCAGCAAAGGGAATGCACTGCTTTAACCACAAAATCACTGTTTTGCTGCTTCACATTTTTATCTTCCAGTGTTGAAACCTTCTCTGTTGCCTTGCCTTGTGTGTCAGTGGATCTCCTGTTTCTGCCTCCCTTGTGAAACTTGTTCCTTGCTTTTAATTATTTCTATCTCATTTATTAATATTACTCTGACTCCAGAAAAACAAAAATCATATACTTACACAACCATAGACTGGTTKGGGTTGGAGAGACCTTAAAACTCATCTACTTCCAACCTGTTCTTGAACACTTCCAGGGATGGGGCATCCACAGCTTTTCTGGGCAGCCTCTTCCAGTGCTTCACCACTCTCACCATAAACAATATCTTCCTAATATCTAATCTAAACCTACTCTCTTTCAGTGTAAAGCCATTCCTCCTTGCCCTGTCACTATGTGCSCTTGTAAAAAGTCTCCCTCTTCCTTGTAGGCCCCTTTAGATACTGAAAGGCTTCTATAAGATATTCATGGGAGCTTCTCTTGTCCAAATACAATTCTCCAAAAATAATCTGGTTGCAAATGCTCCTGCTCTATTGAAGCTCCTTCTCCTAAGTGCTGCCTCCCCACCTCCTTCCCGGGATGGCTCCCTTCACACCCCCTTGTCTGGTTTTCCTGAGAATKGAGGCTCTTTGGGGAAGGTACTTAATGACTTTCTTGTGTTTGCTCTGCAGCAAAGGTCTTGTGGAGCAAGATAATAATCCGTGTGATCATTTAATTTAGACTAGATTGCACCACACACAGAGGCAAGGCTGAATTAAAATTGCATAAGCAATTTGGATTGTGATATTAGCTGTGATTTTTTTTAACAGTACAAGTTCTTTAATACAGTTCTTAGTGAAATGTCTCTCTCATAAATTCCCCTCCTTCTTCCTACCCCAAAATCAAGTGCGTGGTAWATATTTGCCCCTGTTAAACCTTGGCTGTGACAGCATGGTATCATTGCAGCAAGGCAGAGGAACAGGACAGTAGTAAGTTGTTAGAATCTCATAATGAAAGAATGTGGAAACAGGTTTCACTGCTCAAACTCCTGGTTCTCTGACYCCTTCATGTGCAGAAAGTGGAGACATGCCAGAATTCCCAAACCTGGTTCATTCTCTGTGATCCCCCCAGCCTGTTCCCTTGCCCTCACCTCCAACCTCCTCAGCTTCTTAATTCTTCTTTTGAGTCCTTTGTGTCCCCCAGCTCTTTGGTAAAGGTTTCAAATAACTTGGATTAATGTCAGTGTTCCCTCTCAATATTTCCCCCCCTGCTCACCCRTCAGTCCCGCTGTTCCTCTGTGCTCTTTGTCCAGTGAAGGTTTGTGCACTCCTGTTCCCTTGTGCCTCTCCCCAGCCTGTGCTCATGTTTCTTCCTTTGCTTTCCAGCCACAGTCCCAGCATCCTGTCCAGTTCCCAGACCTGTTTTTCCTTCCCTGCTACTACTGATCCTCAGGCTCCTCACTCTTCACTGCCATGCCCTCCCCTCCTGCAGCTTATAGGATTGTTAGCAAATGGTATTTATTGTGCTTTCACACCCCAGTTGCTGTCACTACAGCCAGTATTTGAGGTGCAGTGTCTCAAATGAGCCACTCAGGTGGAATAAATCTTCCACCCTTCATCCTGCAAGCCAGGATGTCCTTGTGACAGTATGGTCTCCATGGGTTTTTTCAATACCTGACTGTACAAAGCCCTGGTTTGATCTCGTGGCTGACCCTGTTTGGTGCAGGATGCCAGATTGGAGACCTCCTAGGGACCCTTCCCAAGCTGAGTTATCTTATGCTGACATGAAAATAACCTTGTCTGCTGGATGTGAAGGAAACAGAACTTTTCTGGCTGGCACAACCTGCAAACTTCCAATGAAACTTTAATTMATACCCATTCCATCTAAGCAGGATATGCCTGTTTGGTCTTGGTAGCTTTAAATTTTTTGCAAAACTCACCCGTTTTCAAAATGGTAACCAAAAAGGAGCTCAGTGGGCTTCAGGATTATCTGTGCA